GAGTGTAAAGTGGATAAAGTTGATTAAGTTAGTTTTTTATATCATTTGCATTCACTTTTAAAATCTCTATTTTGTGATCAGGCTCTTCTTCTCTACAAAGTAAGTGGTTCCATTGAGTTCTGGACAGCTCAGCACTGTAAGCTGAATACAATTTCCAGTTGCCATCCCAAATTGGAATACCTGCCCTCCTACCAAGAATTTTCTTGTGGCTTGGCCAGCATGACCCAGCCTTTCCTCTCTCTGTAAAAATCAATCTATTTTTTAAAAAAAAGAAGTTTCTTCTGTCTGGCCAATATGGCTCAGGGGTTGAGCAACAGCCTATGAACCAGGAGGTCAAGGTTTGATTCCAGTCATGGTACATGCCCAGGTTGCTGACTTGATCCCCAGTAGGGGGTGTGCAGGAGGTAGTTGATCAATGTTCCTATCTCAGTCCCTCTCCTTTCCTCCCTCTAAAATCAATTAAAAATATATATATATTTAAAATATATATATATTTTTAAATATATATTTTATTGATTTTTTACAGAGAGGAAGGGAGAGAGATAGAGAGTTAGAAACGTCGATGAGAGAGAAACATCGATCAGCTGCCTCCTGCACACCCCTCACCTGGGATGTGCCCACAACCAAGGTACATGCCCTTGACTGGAATCGAACCTGGGACCTTTCAGTCCGCAGGCCGACGCTCTATCCACTGAACCAAACCGGTTTCGGCTAAAAATATATTTTTTAAAACATTTCTTGTGAAGTTTCAAGTTCAGTGTGTTTGGCTGTCTTGTCATATTGGTCATCAGAGACATTGCCCCTCTGTGACCTGCGGAGAGCAGCATCCCTTATTTCAGGGAAAAGAGCTTGCTGAACCTGAGTCCTCAGGGCCTAACGTTGAACAAACCACTATTTTCAAATTAACCGAATATCCACATCCTTCCCCGGTATCAGAGGGTTGTGGGGACTACTAGCAATGCCCTGCTGCCTCCCAAAAGCACCCACGATAGATGAGCCAGAGTGGCCAGGCTGAGAGCCCAGAGCGATGATCCAGGCACCCCTAGTTTCAGAGGCCAGGACGCTGAGGTCCAGAAAGAAGTGGTGTGTCTGCGGCTCGCTCAGGTTCCTGCCCCTGGCTCAGTGCGGGGGAGGGGAGATGGAGTTCCAGAGCACAGGAACAGGGACATAGTTTGCTAGTATCCATAACTCCCTGAAACTCGCCCACATTTAGGAATGAAGCCATTTTTATTATGATGAAACCTTTATAAGAACTCCCTCCCCCATTAGAAACTGGAGCGGCTACTATGGAAACAGCATGGAGACTCCTCAATAAATAAAAACAGGACCACCTTGCCTGGCTGCTGCCTCAGGGATTGAGTGTTGACCTATGAACCAGGAGGTCACTGTTTGATTCCCAGTCAAGGCATATGATTCCCAGATCGATCAATGATTCTCTTATCATTGGTGTTTCTATCTCTCTCTACCTATTCCTTCCTCTCTGAAATAAATAAAGATACTATATATATTTTTTAAATTTTTTTTTAATTTTTATTGATTTCAGAGAGGAAGGGCGAGGGAGAGAGAGATGGAAACATCAATGATGAGAGATAATCATTGACTGGCTGCCTCCTGCACGCCCTTACTGGGAATCAAGCCTGCAACTCAAGTATGTGCCCTTGACTGGAATCAAACCCAGACCTTCAGTCCACAGGCCAATGCTCTATCCACTGAGCCAAACCAGCTAGGACTAAATATACATATATTTTAAAGAATAGGATTACCTTTTAACTCAGAAATTCCACTTCTGGGTATTTATTTGAAGAAATCCAAAACACTAATTCAAAAGGATATATGCACCCTGCATTCATTGCAGCATTATTTACAACAGCCAAGACATGAAAGCAACCTAAATGCCATCAATAGATGATTGGATAAGGATGATGTGATACATGTATACAATGGAATGTTACTCAGCCATAAAAAATAATAAAATCTTACCATTTGCAACAATGTACATGAACCTAGAGGGTATTGTGCTGAGTGAAATAAGCCAGAGAAAGACAATTACCATATGATTTCACTTATATGTGGAATCAAGAATAAAATAAGCAAACAAAACAGAAAGACAAACTGGTGGTTGTTGGATGGGGGGGGGGGGTGTTGGAGAACTGAATGAAAAAGGTGAAGGAATTAAGAAGACAAATGGGTAGCTTAGAGAATCCTAATAGTAAAAGCCTAATATACAAATTGTCCCCTCAGGCGGTCATTTACTAGGAGTGGAATTGCTCACTCTTATGTGCGGGGAACATGGTGGGCATCAGCAACATGGCGCTGGCAGTGGGCAGCAGTGGAGGCCCTGCTGGCCCTGATGGGCCCTGACGACAGCAGGACCACAGCGGGATGATGGAGCAGATGAGTGGGTGCCCACCATCCTACAGACAGCAGCACCAGGGGACAGGATGAGCAGGCGGTGCCTGGCCAAGGGGGGGTGCCAGGTGGGGCTGTAAGGCTGGGGCACAAGCTGGAGCCTGATCTCGGCAGGTCACACTGAGAGAACCCACCCATGCATGAATTTCGTGCACTGGGCCTTTAGTATAGTATAATAATCTATCTATTAATATATAAAAGGCTAATAGGGCCCTGACCAGTTTGGCTTGGTGGGTTGTGTTGGCCTGCAGACTGAAGGGTCTCAGTTCGATTCTGGTCAAGGGCATGTACCTTGGTTGTGGACACATCCCCATTAGAGGGTGTGCAGGAGGCAGCTGATTGATGTTTCTCTCTCATTGATGTTCCGCTCTCTCTATCCCTCTCCCTTTCTCTGTATAAAAGAAATAAATAAAAAGTGTATATATATATATATAATATATTTTATTGATTTTTTTTCACAGAGAGGAAGGGAAAGGGATAGTTAGAAACATTGATGAGAGAGAATCGTCGACCAGCTGCCTCCTGCACACCCCCCACTGGGGATGTGCCCACAACCAATGTACATGCCCTTGACCAGAATTGAACCTGAGACCTTTCAGTTCGCAGACTGACGCTCTATCCACTGAGCCAAACCAGTTTAAGCAAAATATATATATATATTAAAAGGCTAATAGGCAATGCCCCTCTGAGTTCCACGGGTAGAACAGGAGTTCGATCCCTATGACATGTGCTGACCACCAGGGGGCGACGTAGAACATGTCAGGCAACCAGCCGCAGTGGCAGGAGGCACTGAGGAAGAGAGGGAAGAAGGAAGCGGGGAGGTGGGGATGCAGGGAACCTGATCAGCCCTGATCTCTGGCCAGGCCTGTGCATGAATTTCGCGCATCGGGCCTCTTGAATTGTAATAACTATGTATAATTCCAGGTGAGTACTACATTTCTCGGGGGATCATTTTATAAATTATATGTCTAACCACTATATCTGAACTGTAACTGCAAATTTCTAAAAAGACTTCCCACTGCCCTAACTGATTTGGCTCTGTGGATAGAGCATCGGCCTGCGGACTCAGGGGTTCCAGGTTCGACTGGGGTCAAAGGCATGTACCTTGGATGCAGGCACATCCCCAGTTGGGAGTGTGCAGGAGGCAGCTGGTTGATGTTTCTCTCTCATCGATGTTTCTAATTCTCTATCCTTTCTCCCTGTAAAAAATCAATAAAATATATATATTTTTTAAAAATAAAGACTTCGCCCTCCCAATCTGTCTAAGACACTAGTTAACCCTCTTCCCTCACTATGTGCCAGGAGAGCACTAAGCACTTTTTATTTTTATTTTAGCACTAAGCACTTTAATCACTTCTCATCCTTAACCAAATGATGGCTATTATCACATTCCCCATTTTACAGATGAGGAAACTGAGGACTCTGGGTTACATAACTTATCCAAGGTCACAAAGGCAATTAAAGAACCAGGAGTCAAATCCAGGCAGGCTAGATCCAGAGTGCACGCTCGGCACGGTTATATCCTGGAAGGAACACCTTGTTTAAGAAAGGGAAATGAGAGAGAGAATAAAAAAAAAGAAAAAAAAAGAATTTAAAAAGGGAAATGAAGATGCTTGTACTAGGAAACTCTTTTTTGTCTGAGTGATTTTGCTACAACTTCACCTTTTAAAGATTCTTATTCTCCATCCCCTTTCTACATGTCACTTCCTCCTTGCAGAAAAGAACTTTTATTTTTTTTAGAATGCCTGCAACCAAAGTACGTGCCCTTGACCGGAATGGAACCTAGGACCTTTCAGTCAGCAGGCTGACGCTCTATCCACTGAACCAAACCAGTTAGGACAGGAAGAAATTTTTAAAATATATATTTTTATTGATTTCAGAGAGGAAGGAAGGAGAGTAACATCAGTGATGAGAATCATGGATCAGCTTCCTCCTGCACGCCCCACACCGGGGATTGAGCAGCCACCGGGCATGTGCCTTGACGGAGATTTGAACCACTGAGCCACACCGGCTGGGGAGAAAGAAAGGTCTCAGCAGACCAAAATGGGCGTCCCCTCCCCCTGGGTACCTGGCTGTCTGGGACCCTCCCACCCCATCGACCCCACAGCCTCACTCCCTCACCTCTCAAAGGATAACCAGTGGTCCGGCTCATAAATTCCAATCTGACTTTAATAAATTAGATTCCAGATACAGCAATGGCCACCACCGTGTCCACACTCCGGGGCGGCCTCTCCACGGAGCCCCTCGGGCCGCCAGGGCGGGAGGGCTCCGGGTCAAGTACAAAAGGTTCAGAGGGGGGCGGGCGGGGCCGGGAGAACCTGCCGGCAGAGGCCTGGGGGGGGGGGGGGGGGGCGGGACCTTCCTGGGGGGGAGCCGGGCGCCAGGCCGGCCCCAGAGCCGCCCGCGCTCACAGGGTGGGGACAGGGCGGGCGGCCCAGTCTGCGGGAGCCCCCCCACCGTGTCCGGGCCTCGGCGTCTCCCAGGCCCCGCGGGCCCTCTGCCCGCCGCCCAGAGGGAGGGAGGGAGGGAGGGAGGCCGGCCGGTGCCCTCCCGGATGCCCTCCGCCCGCGGGGAGCCTGAGCTGGGGGCCCTCAGAGCTGCGGGCCGGGGCTGCCATCGGCCTTGGGCTTGGCCTTGAAGGAGAAGCGCTTGATGAGGCGGCGGGAAAAGCTGCCGGCCTTCTTGCGGACGCCGGGCGAGGCCATGGAGTCCGAGAGGTCATCGTGCGACTGGCTCAGGCCGGCCTCCCTCCGGCGGGGCCGCCGGCGGAAGAGGAGCTTCGTGCCGCTGCGCAGGAAGCTCACTGCGGGGAGAGGGGAGCCGCTGAGGGGGCGGGGGCGGGGGCGGGGCCGGAGGGGCGGGGCCGGAGAGGGGAGCCGCTGAGGGGGCGGGGGCGGGGCCGGAGGGGCGGGGCCGGAGGGAGAGGGGAGCCGCTGAGGGGGCGGGGGCGGGGCCAGAGTGAAAAGGGAGCCGCTGAGGGGGGGCGGGGGCGGGGCCGGAGGGGAGTGGAAGGAGAACTGGAGGGGGTGGGGCCGGAGGGGCGGGGCCGGAGGGAGGGGAGGAGGCTGGAGGGGGAGGAGGGATGGAGGGGCAGAAAGAAGCCAGCATGCCTGGCAAGCCTGGTCATGGTTCTATTCCCCATCACTTGCCCAGGTTGTGAGCGTGCAGGAGACAGCCAATACATGATTCTCCCTCATCACTGATGTTTCTCTCTCTCTCCCTCTCCCTTCCTCTCTGAGATCAATAAAAATACATTAAAAAATAAAAAAGACCAAGCATGGAGGGGTCGGCCATGCAGAAGAGACAGGCCCTGGGCCGGGGGAGAAAGTAGAGACAAAGGATGCCCTTGGTCCTGGCTGAGGAGCCAGCAGTGCTGGCGGGAGTCTGCCCTGCTGACCGCCGGCCCGGGCCGCCTCTGTGCCCACAGACTGGCCCGGGACTCCACCATGGAAAGACCAAGGCTGAGCAGAGGGTGTCTAAAGAAATGTCCTCACTAGCCAAAACCGGTTTGGCTCAGTGGATAGAGCGTCAGCCTGCGGACTGAAAGGTCCCAGGTTCGATTCCGGTCAAGGGCATGTACCTTGGTTGCGGGCACATCCCCAGTAGGGGGTGTGCAAGAGGCAGCTGATCGATGATTCTCTCTCATTGATGTTTCTAACTCTCTATTCCTCTCTTCCTCTCTGTAAAAAATCAATAAAATATATTAAAAAACAAACAAAAACAAAACAAAACAAAAAGTAGTTTCAGGATGGACATTTAACAAAAAAAAAAAAAAAGAAAAAGAAATGTCCTCACCGGTGACGTGGCTCAGTGGCTGAGCATTGACCTATGAACCAGGAGGTCACAGTTCGATTCCCAGTCAAGGGTTGCAGGCTCAATCCCCAGTGAAGGGCATGCAGGAGGCAGTCGATCAATGATTCTCTCATCATTGATGTTTCGATCTCTCTCTCCCTCTCCCTTCCTCTCTGAAATCAAAAATATTTTTTTAAATATATTTTATTGATTTTTTTTTTTTTTTTTACAGAGAGGAAGGGAGAGGGATAGAAAGCTAGAAATATCCATGACAGAAATCGCTTTATCCACCAAGCCAAACCAGTTTTGCATAAAAAAATATTTTTAAAAGACGGAAAAAAGAAATGTCCTCAGAGGCAGACATGGGAAGAACAAAATTGTTTGCCACAAACTCTTACAAAGTTCCAGGACGTGAGCAGGAAGGGGTGCATTCAGAGGCACAGGAGGAAGGTGCTCACTTGGAGGCTTTGGGTTTGGGCCTCATTATCCAAGAGGTGGTGGCGGCTGAAGCCAGATGGTTAGGTGAGTGTGGTTCCCAGACTCGCTGAGAAGGATGAAGAGGTTGGGGGAAGCCCTTCCAGTTCGAAGTGAGGAGTGCCTCAGCCGGCCACAGCTGTCCCTGCGCACAGTCAGCCCAGATAGGACTTCCCACACTCATAGGGGAAAGAATACAGAATCAAAGGGAAGCAAGAGCCCTGGCCAGTGTGGCTCAATGGATAGAGCGTCAGCCTGCGGACTGAAGGGTCCCGGGTTTGAATTAAGTCAAGGGCACATCCCAGGTCTCCAGTAGGGCGCATGCAGGAATCAGCATATCAATGATTCTCACCATTGATGTTTCTATCTCTCTCTCTCCTCTTCCTTCCTCTCTGAAATCAATATATATATATATATATATATATATATATATATATATATATATAAAAAGAAAGGGAAGGAATTAAAAAGCACACAAGGGAAGGGAGAGACACATTGGGACTTTTTTAAAACGCGGGACAAATTGTTAAAAATCGGGACTGTCCTGCCAAGAGCGGGTGTCTGGTCACCCTAGACACGGGAAAAAGGAAACTCGTGGTAAATAAGCCACAGGCCCCAGCGCACCCTGCTCCCTCGCCCCTCTTCCCCTTCGCTCTCTGAGCCCGGCTGGGCCTCGAAGCCCCTGAGGAAGGACACACCCATCGGCGTCGGCCTTCCTGTCCCTGAGGCTCCAGGAGGACCCAGGCCATGACACTAGGTATCAGAGGGGGCTGCCCACCTCGCCCACCTTTGTGATCCTTGAGGCTGCGGGTCTCCAGGGCACCAGTGGAGCCTGTTTCCGACTCAACATCATCCACAGACGGCCTCTCGGAAATGTCCGAGCGCGTGGTCTCATCGGCCTCCTGGACACTGGTAGGGCTGCAGAGGGCATCCGGGGCTCCCGGGAAGGCGGCTGGGGGGTCGGAGGGCGGGGCAGCGGGGCCGCCGTCTCCGGCATCGTCCTGCGCCAGGGCCTCGAGAGAGGCTGCGTAGCCCAGCGACAGCGCCAACTCGTCCTGCGCAATGGGCACCTGGCGAAGGAGGCTGGTTGAAGGGTCTGCAGTGGCAGGTTGAAGGGACTCCCGCCACCTCGGCTGCTCTCCCAGAGCCGTTACCTTGGAAACACCTGAGATGATGAGGGTGCTCCGCTTTGTGGGTGTCTTCTTGGCTGCCCGCCCGCTGGGCTCTGTCAGCTGGCGAATGGCCGTCTCTGCCACAGGGTCAAGGCCATTGGCAAGGTGGCTCTCCCCTGCTGGGCAGACGTGGACCCGACTCTGCTCCAGCTCCCCTTGGACCAGAACCCCAGGCCTCGCCAACGTGGTTTTGACTTTGGGGCCCCAGTGCCAGCTGACACTCCCACATCCCAGGTCCCCACTCACGGCTGCTGCTGGGGGGGGCGCTGCTGGGGCCGCCACTCTCACTCAGCACCGTGGTCTTCTCGGTCACCTCCACCTTGGACGGGGAGCGGGAGGGGGAGTCTGCTGGGTGGGGGAGGGTCAGTGAGCCAGGGTATTTGAGAATGGCCCCCCCACCACATCTTTGCTGAGAGGCAGGTTTGGTGACTCAGAGGGCAGGGGTGACTCAGAGATGATGAATCACAGGAGTGATTACGAAGATGCCAGGGAGAACCTTAGGGGTTTGGCTCGGTGGATAGAGCATCGGGCTGTGGACTGAAGGTCCTAGGTTCGATTCTGGTCAAGGGCACATGCCAGGTTTGGGGCTTGATCCCTAGTGTGGGGCTTGCAGGAGGCAGCCAATCAATGGTTCTCTCTCATCATTGATGTTTCTCTCTCGCTTTTCCTCTCCCTTCCTCTCTGACATCAATAAAAATATATTTAACAAAAAAATAACTCATATTCCTTATTTTAAAAAAGAAGCAGCAGCTGAAACCGGTTTGGCTCAGTGGATAGAATGTCAGCCTGCAGACTGAAGGGTCCTGGGTTCAATTCCAGTAGGGGGCATGTACCTGGGTTGCAAGCACGTCCCCAGTGGGGGGTGTGCAGGAGGCAGCTGATCGATGATTCTCTCTCATCGATGTTTCTAACTCTCTATTCCTCTCTCTTCCTCTCTGTGAAAAATCAATATATTTAAAAAAAAAAAAGTAGCATCAGCCTGGGGACAGAGGCATATGGGAACTGTGGGGGTGTGGGGAGAAGCCGTGAAATACCGAGGTGGAGATGGCACGTGGGGCCCTGAACAGAGGGACCTGAGAGGCAGGGGAATGCACGGAGGCCTGTGAGCAGAAGCACCATGGAGGCCCTGGCGGTGGAAGGACCTGCAGGGTGCTGGCTGGCAGAGGCTGGAGGAAGGGAAGGTGAGGCGGGGGCCTGGGGATGGAGGGGAACGGACCGGACCCCTGAAAAGACAGGGAATTTAGGGAGGGGGAAGTGCACAGGTCCCACTGCAGGGTGGGTGGGTCCAGGGCTGACATGGAAGGGACCATCATCAAGGAGATGGAGGGTGAGGGGGAGACTGGGGGAGACAGACCATGAGGAAGATGCAGGGGGGAAGCTGGGTTAGTGCTTTCCTTGCCCTTCCCTGTCCTGGTGCTCAGGGCCCCTGGCTACCCCTGGGCTCCAGCTCCTTCTTCTTACCTGATTTGCCATCTACAATGCGAGGCCGGGACTGGACAGTGGTGACCGTGGTGACAATGGTGCCATCAGGCATGATGGTGCGGTCCAGCTCGACCTTCTTGGTAGGTGTGATGCTGGGGCGTGGCGTGGAGGGGGTGGGGTTCTGGGGGGAACCCTCCTCATACTGAAGCTGTGAGGGGTGGGAGCGCAATGAGGCCCGGGCTCAGGGACCACCCTCTGCCACCTCCTCCCACTTTCCCGGTCGCTCACCTCCACTGCCACGGTGGCTGCGGGTCCCAGGGCGGTCCCGGGCCCTGGGGTGAGCGGGCACACCTGTCTCCGGGATAGCGGTCTGGAAGGGGAGCCCACGGGCACTGTGGCCTGGCCCAGGAGCTCGGCTGGGAAGGGCAGCGCCATGAGCTGGGCCCACAGTCGGGCTCCACTCAGCACCTGCCCCCCACCTAGGTGCTCCTTCCTGCCTCCTACTCACCGTCTCCACCGCGGCTGCTCCTCAGCACCCTGAGCACCAGCTCCCGGCTCTGGGGGCCCAGGTCCCTGCGGGCAGGGAGGGGGAGGTTAGCAAAGGCAATCCACCTTGAACTGACCACAGGCCAGAGGCAGACAGCATGTACAGAAACAAGACGGTCCGAGTGCTCCACTCAGAGTCATCCCTGCCCTCCGAGGCCTTCCTCTTCCTCCTCAGCGGAGCATCAGGCCCCTCTGCCCTGCCCCATCAGCCTTCCAGTCTCTGCCACACCACCTTTCCTTTGCTCGCTCTTGGCTCTTAGAACCCTCCTGGTGTAAATGTCGCCTTCCCGGCTCCGACCCTTACTGCCCCAGGAGTTACTCTCCCCAGGAGGCGCTCCTGAGCACTTGCTGCAAACCGAGACCACTGACTCATGCTCTTTCCACAAGTCTGTCTCTGCCTGGACTCCAAAACCACCTCGAGGTGGGTCACATCTCTACCAGGACCTAGCTGGGCCTGGCCTAGGGGCACACATCACAGTTCAGTGACCACAGAGCTGTTCGTGCCAGGCTGTGCTGAGGGGAGGACTGTCTGCCCCGGGAGTGGGAGGGGCAGGGGGGGATGCTTACAGGACCAGGTCCTCCGTCCACTCCACCTCGGGGCCCGCCCTCACGGGCTTGGTCCACCTCTGCTGCGCGGGGTTGTCGAGCTCGGCCGCGCAGCGCAGGTCCCCGGTGCCTGGAGGAGACGGAAATGTGATGCAGACCAAAGACGGAGCTCTGAGCAACAGAGGCCACGAGCCTGTGAGCACAGCCCACTGCCCAGCCTCAGCGCACTCACCTTCCAGCTCACTCCCCAGGTGCGAGGCCCGCAGCTGCCGCAGGAGTAACCGGGTGGGCCTGGGGCTGGCTGGCTGGGCCTGGGACAGCGTGAGGGGCTTCTCACCGGGCACCTAAGTACAGAGGAGGTCAGAGGGAATTCCAGCATAGTAATGGAGACACTGTGCCTGCGAACCATTAGCTTCTTTTAAAAAAATATGTTCTTATTGATTTTTTGAGAGAAAGGAAGAGGGAGAGGGAGAGGGAGAAACATCAATCAGCTCCTCCCGCAAGCCCCCTATTGAGGATCAAGCCCAAAACCCAGCATGAGCCCTGACCAGGAATGGAACCTGTGACCTTTTGGTGCATGGGTTGATTCTCAACCAACTGAGCCACACCGGTCAGGGCACACTCTTTGTTCTCAATGCCTACTCACCAGCCCTCCAGGGGCAGAGCACGCCCTGAGGTTGACCATCATGGCTGGCTGGGTGCTGACGATGGCATCCTCTATCAGCTCCGCAATCGTGGAGACCTCCACCTGCTCCTCACCTCTCTGCAGGGAGAAGAGAACAGAGAGGGGGGCGGGTGGGGGGCAGCTCGGCCTTCCCCTCCCTGCTCTGCTTCTTCCTGCCCCCCCCCCAAACCCCCAGCCCTGCTCCCTTACCTCTCTGGCCTGCAGCTTGGGATGCACAGTCAGGCTGAGTTCTGGGCGGTTCCTGAAGGCCCAGGACACAAGGAGCCCCTCGCCAGGGACTTCCTTTAGGTTAATTTCCAACTGGACAGGGACAGAGACTGAGATGACATGCCTACTCCTCCAATTATTCCCCCTCTCCATCCCCTCTCAGAAAGGAGCACAACTGAAAAGGCGGAGGCCATTGAACCACCTGCTGCCCAACTCCATTTCCCACCCCCTCCACCTGTGTTGGTGGCAGTGTCAGAGTGACGTGGTAGGTCTCCATGGAGACGGCAGCGGGGGACTGTTGGGTCACAGAAACTGGGAACATCACCTCCTCAGCAGAGAGCTGACAATGCAGCACCTGGGAAGGCAGGGCATGGGGGTTAGGCGTGGAGAAGGATGCGCCATCCTCTTGGCCCTGCTCTGCGATGGATCTGCAGACCCTCCCCATGTCAGTTGTCCTTGAGACTTTACTGTTTGGGCCACAAGACCATAAAAGAACCATAGAAAAGCCAAAGACTCTTCCCCCCAGAAAAATACAGATATGAACACATGTATGCATGTTGCATGCCACTTAAGTGAGATCCTCAGACCTCCCGAAGCCAGTCCTTGGGTCCCTTCGTCATTCATCAACCTCAAGTTAAGAGCCCTTGGACTAAAGGGAACTCTTGAAATCAGTCCCCTCTGAGACCTTAAAGAAGCCTTGCCCAGCAGACCCTTACCATGGTGTTCTCTGATTGGTCTACACAGGTCACATGACCAATGCTGGCTCTGGGTAAGAGTTGGGGCACCTCCTCAAAGGCGATCTGGATGGAGCTCTGAGGGAGTAACGTGGACACAGGATCAGGTCCTCGGAGCTGCCTCTGCAGGGCGAGCCAGCTCAGTTGCTGACGGGACCTGGCACTGCTGAGGCCACAGCCGCAGGCTGGCTTCTGACCCTCTGGCTCAGGACTTCAATAGGATGTGCTGTCCTCCAAACCCAGCTCCCCAGGGCCTACCGCTGCCAGGGAGAAGTGGGAGCTAGCCTATTGTGGAGACCAGGCCACCTCAAGCAGAGGTCCTAGGTTTTTCCTGGAATAACAGGAGCCTCCCTCTTCTCCCCCAGCTTCCTCTTCATCCTCACCCTCCACCCAAAGGAAAAGGGAAGCACAGAAACCATAGTAAAGATGTAGGCTGCCACCTATATATGATAGTTTGGCAGACAGACTCGACTGAGCTAAGGGGAAAACAGCAAGGCCCACTTATTCAAGGCAAGAGCTGGAGAAACGAGGCCCCGCCTTCTTCCAGATAAATAGGATGTGGATGCACAAGAGTATGATTCTCTCCGCACTCTTGGAGATGAAGACAGCATGGCTGGCCTTGGGGAACTTTACCAGAAGGACTGGGGAGAAAAGCAAGCTCAAGGTGCTCCAGGCCCAGAAGCCTGGCTAATCCCTCCCGCAGACCCAAGGCGGTATAGGGAGCAAAAAGCTGCTTAGCTTAGGCCCTGAAAGAGCTTCCTCATTCTCTCATTGCAGTGAGGCAACCTGCTGCGGCCCTGTCTGCAGAGCGGGGAGGGAAGGAGAATGGGCAGCCCAGACAGACTGACAGCTCCTCCGGGGCCTTGGACGGGAGGAAACAAATCCACGGGCTCATCAGCCCCCCAGCCCAGGGAAGCCCACGCCTGCTCCTGCAGTTGTCCTGTCTGGAGGCCCAAGGAGATGGGGAGATGGATGCTTGGAACCCCAATCTCCCTACTCCCTGTAGAGAGGCCAATGTCCAGCTGAGTCAGCTGCCCTTGGGAATCACTCCTGACCAAGGGACAAGGTGCAGGGAATGCCGGTGGATGTGTGAGTTCAAGACTGACTGAAAGGTGGCATCTGGATTTCTGCCAGCCACCTGGGCAGGACACAGGGCAACTTCTCATGTGGCCTCTTCTGTGTCTAGGCATCTGGGAGTTAGTAATGCCCTCCCAGTGGTGGTGGAGACCACTCTGAGTGAGGGGCCTGATACAGGTGAGAGCAAGGGGATTCCTGGGCCTGGTGGGCAGGAGCCGGGAGAGGAAGACCCGACCTCCCACCCACCTCTCAGTCTCAGAGCTTCCTGCCCACCTCCTGGGTGGTGCGATGGGAGGAAGTAGACTAGGCTAGTTGGTGACAGCCTGGCCCATCTGGGGGAAGTGTGGATAGTCTCTCTGCTCTCCACCTGAACACCTTCCCCCAGCACATCAGCATGGAAGCAAAGAGTTAGACGGTAGCAGCGGATTGTTGAGGGGGGGGGGGGGGGCCAGGGGAGGGTACAACAGGCTCCTTTGGAATATGCCTGATCGCATCAGGGATTTGGGACCCGAAATGTTAACTGGGTGCGGAGGCAGGAGAGCCACGCATTCCTTGGGAAGGTGTACTACCTGTCTCCCTCCTACTCTTACAGCGTCCCCCCTCCCCCGCACCGCAACGCAATCCGCGCACCGACTGGGCGGAAGTGCTCTCGCTCAGGGATTAGCGTTGCTATGAGAACAGCAGTTTGGAGCGGGGTTGGGAGCCAGGGTATCCCGACCACAAGAACGCTGAATTGGGGACCGAGCCGGCTTTCTGCCACCTCCAGCCTCACCTGCACCCTTTTCTGACCCCAAAGTGGAAGAGAGGCCACGGGCTCCCTCCCCGCTGATCCCCACCCCCACCCGGCCCTCCGAGCAGCAGCCAGCGGTCCCTCCCGGGAAGGGAAGGCTGAGCGAGGGGACCCGGTGTCCCGTAGACTCACCCCGGCCCGGCAGGCCTGCTCGTTGAGCGCTCGCACCCACGCCCGCTGCCAGTTCTCCCGGAAAGACTTGAAGGCGAACAGGGACGCCAGGAGGCCCCGGACGCCGGGCTCCCCCGGGGCGCCGGTCGGAGCGGCCCGCAGCCTCAGCAGCGAGCGCCACGCTCCCAGCTCCCGCAGGGGCCCCCCGGGCTCGGCCGCCGGAGCGGGTCCCGGGCTCCGGTCCCCGGGCACCCCCCGCCGCCACCAGCCGCGCGCGGACTGCAGCAGCCAGCCGAGCACCGTGAGCAGCGAGGCCGCGAACAGCACCAGCAGGGCCGCCCAGCCGGCGTCCCGCAGGGCCCGGCCCGGCTCCATGCTCCGCGCGGCTCGCTCCGCGCCGCCCCGGCTCAGCCGCTGCCCCGGGGGAGCATGGCCCGGGCGGCGGGGGCGGGCGGCTCCCCCGGGGCTGGGCGCGCGGGCTCGGGCGCGCTGCGGGGCGGGCTCCGGGAAGGTGGGCGCACGGGAGCAACCAGGGGCCCTGGGCACCGCGCCGGGCCCCTCTCGCGGGCGGTCGCTCCTCGGTCCCGCAGTCCCGCTCCGGTTAGCCGCCGGCCGCCGGGCTCCTCGCACCGCCCAGGCACCAGCCCCGGGCCGCCGGGTCGGCTGCAGGGACGCGGGCTCCGGGCTGCGTGCGCGCTGACACTGACAACACCGCGCGCCCCGCCCCACCGCCTTAAAGGGGCCGCACCCCGCGGGCGGGGCCTGGCGCTTGGGGCGCCGCCACTGGGGAGTCGGCGGGCGGGCGCGGCTCCGCGGAGGTGGTTCCGGGGTTGAAAAGAGGCGGGCTCTTGGGCCGCCCGCCCCCACGGAACCGGGGTGCTCCTCCTCCGAGCTCCCCGCGGAGCGGCTGCACTCAGCTGGAAGCAGCTCGCTCTCCCCTCTGCTGCTCACAGGTCTGTCTTTCGGCGCCTGTGGGGTTAAGGAAGTGACTCTCATAGACGGCGTTTCCCTTCTCCCAGCACCTCCAGGCTCTGCAGCTTCTTCTTTTTCTTCTTTTCTTTTTAAAAAATATTTTTTTGCCCTGACTGGTTTGGCTCAATGGATAGAGCGTCAGTCTGTGGACTTAAGGTCTCAGGTTTGATTCCAGTCAAGGGCATGTGCCTTGGTTGCGGGCGCATCCCCATTGGGCAGTGTGCAGGAGGCAGCTGATTGATATTTCTAACTCTATTCCTCTCCCTCCCTCTCTGTAAAAAATCAATAAAATATATTAAAAATATTTTATTGATTTTAGAATGGAAGGGAGAAAGAGAGAAACATCAATGATGAGAGAGAATCATCCATGGGCTGCTGCCTGCACGTCCCACACTGGGGATCCAGCTTGTACCCTGAGGGGATGGAACCGTGACTCCTGGTTCACAGGTTGATGCTCAACCACTGAGCCACAGGGGCTGGGCGGCTCAGCAGCTTCTTGGCTCCCGTTTCCTGGCTGAAGTTAGGCCCCAGGTCTGCAGGCGGAGTGCCTCCCAGATAGCAGTGCCTGGCCGAGGTGCAGCGATACTGACCAGGGAGAGAGCAGAACCGGGCCTGGTTCTCCCATTCCCTCCCCACTTCGCCCCGGAGCGATGGTACAGGAGCACCCTACTAACCTCTCTGCTGCCAGGCTTGTCTGGTGCTCTTTCCCAAGCTGGGGCTGCTTGCTTTTTAAAAAATAATATATTTCCATGGTCACAGCTCCCTGCATGTGTGGAGGGAGTGGTAGCGAGCAGGGAGTGTGGTGTGGCACTGGACTACCAGTAGGTTTGGCTGAGGAACCTGCCCTCTAAGTATCTAGTATCCCATTAAGCACCCCAGAATTGTGTTTTAGGTACACCTTTCCTAGATTTAAGAGAGTGGATTCCATTTCTATAGGACAAGAGCTTGTCATTGCTTTCTGGAGGAAGGGGAAGGAAAATGCTACAAAAGGATTCAAAGAATCCCTTTCCCCCAAAGGCCCTTCTCCACGTACACATTGCAAGGACTTTGGCATCCAGTGCCTTCCTTAGAGGCACAACAGTGAAAGTATTAAATCTCTCTCTCAAACCCAGTTGGTCGTCTGAGAAGCAGAAGCAAGCAATGCTTTAAAAATATGTGTATGTATTTATCATGTTTATCGTTTTTTAGAGAGAGGAAGGGAGAGGGAGAGAGAGATAGTAACATAGGTGAGAGAGAAACATCATGAATCTGCTGCCTCCTGCACGCCCTCTGGGAATCAAGCCCATAATCCGGGCATGTGCCCTGACGGAATCAAACCTTCATCTCTTGGTTCCTGGGTCGACGCTCGGCCAGGTTAAGCAATGCTCTTTATTTTTTTATTTATTTTTTTTTTTTATAAATATATTTTATTGATTTTTTACAGAGAGGAAGGGAGAGAGATAGAGAGTTAGAAACATCGATGAGAAAGAGTCATCGATCAGCTGCCTCTTGCACACGCCCTACTGGGGATATGCCCGCAACCAGGTACATGCCCTTGACCGGAATCGAACCTGGGACCCTTCAGTCCCCAAGCCGACGCTCTATCCATTGAGCCAAACCGGTCCCAGCAAGCAATGCTCTTTAAAGTATAGGCTTCCAGGGTGAGACAGAAGCAGGCAGGTCGGCACCAAGGTGCTGAGCCAGAGGAGGTGGTGGGTGGTGGGGAGCGGGGGCACCCCTGGTTTCACTGCTCCCTTGCAGAGGCCCGCCCATGCCTCATCATTGACACCAGAAGCAGAGGCAGATTCCCGCACTGTGGGCTTCCAACCTTGGGGGGAGGAGCCCACATGAGATGACGGGAGGAGACTCAGGCCAGTGCAGGAGGAAGCTGTAGGTGGGCAGGGCAGCCAGGCTAGGGGAGCAGGTTCCCCGTGCAGTTTCACTCTGAGGTCCCCCTTCGCCAAAACCCTTCTTCCCGAGCCACGAGCCTCCCAGCGGCCTCGCTTCCCGGAGAGCTTGGATTCTCTGCCCTGAGCCCTGCTCCTTCGCTGCCAGATGCTGCTTAGCAATCCTTCTCCTGAGCCTCCCGAGCCAGTGCTCCCGCGCTTCCTTTCCCTTGTGGCTGAGACCTGCAGCATCACTTCATTCTGTCTTATGGCCTAGCTGGTTATTTATTTGTATGCTTTTCCCACGCACCAGGAAGCTGCTTGCAAGTACAACCATGGCCCTAACTGGTGTGGCTCAGTGGATAGAGCGTTGACCTGCGGACTTAAGAGTCCCGGATTTGATTCCGGTCAAGGGCATGTACCTTGGTTGTGGGCACATCCTCAGTAGGAGGTGTGCAGGAGTCAGCTGATCAATGTTTCTCTCTCATCGATGTTTCTAACTCTCTATCCTCTCCCTTCCTCTCTGTAAAAAAATCAATGAAATATATATTAAAGAGAGAGAGAGAGAGAGAGAGAGAGAGAGAGAGAGAGAGAGAGAGAGAGAGAGAGGAGTCCTACCCAGCTGGTTTGGCTCAGTGGATAGAGCATCAGTGTGAGGACTGAAGGGTTTGATTCCAGGCAAGGGCACATGCCCAGATGCTGGCTCAATTTCCAGTGTGGGGCGTGTAGGAGACAACCGATCAATGATTCTCTCCTCATTGATGTTTCTATCTCTCTCCCTCTCACTTTCTCTCTGAAATCAATTTAAAAAATATTTTTTTTAAATAGTAGAGCCCTGTCTTACTCTTTTCTCTTCCCTCATATTCAACCAAGTTGCTTTCTGATGCTGAAAGGAAGGAACAAACTAAAAGCTGTATTTCCATCACTTTGTGTCTCTTCAGTTCTTACGAGTTTTCCATTCGCAGAGTAGAGATTAGTCAATTGTTTGTAATTGTTAGAAGTCTAACAAAAAATTACAATATACATGTAAACACTAAAAATTTCTACACTGTTTCCATCTTTTGAAAATTGATTCATGTCATCCAAGTGGAGTGGGAGATCTGTTACCTTTTAGGAAACAGTTTCTGAAAAACTGATTGGGCCGAAACCGGTTTGGCTCAATGGATAGAGCGTCGGCCTGCGGACTGAAGGGTCCCGGGTTCGATTCCGGTCAAGGGCATGTGCCTTGGTTGCGGGCACATCCCCAGTAGGGGGTGTGCAAGAGGCAGCTGATCGATGACTCTCTCTCATTGATGTTTCCAGCTCTCTATCTCTCTCCCTTCCTCTCTGTACAAAATCAATAAAATATATTGAAAAACTGATTGGGGGGAAGGGAGCAGGCAGAAAAGCAAAACAGGAACCCAGCTGTCTGGAAAGAGCCACAGGTCTGATCCTGCTGGATCCGAGCCCCACTCTCCACGCTGCCTGTGGACTTTCGGGTGCTCTGAGCCATTTCCAGGGTAAGTTGCCAGGTGCTCGGACTGAGTAGCACATTGGCCTGTGCCTGGGAGGCACGCAGGACGCCCTAGCAGCAGATACTCAGCTCAGACTGTCTGCTCAGCTCAGGAAGCCGCTCAAGTGCTGACAGCTCACCTCATCTGTGAGGCCGCGATGAGCTGCCGCTCTCAGGCAAATGCTTTGAACTCTTGCCAGGAAAGGCATGACATTTCAAGTGTGGCCATATTTGATTCTTCTCATGAGTCTGATAATCAACTGGGCACTTACCATCTCGGGAACAAAAATATTCACATTATATGACAAGTATCCACGTAACTGTGTTCTGATGGGAATGCGTGTCCTGGACGAGGAATCCCTACGTCTCTTGTTTTGAATGTCTCCCCGCCCTTTCCCGTGAGAGGAACGGGAGCCGCAGCCTCTCCTGGGGAGACGACCATGCTGCCTCCTGGGGCTCCCACGAAGCCCCCGTCCTGCTTGTCCTCTCCCTGTTTGCAAGATTCTTCCGATCTCTCACTCACTGAAAACCATGGAGATGCTATTTTTCTGCAAGGTCCCATCACCTCCCTCGATTACAACTAAATGTGCTTCTATTGCCTGCACCTCTTTCAGACCCAGCTCCCTATGCGTGCTGATGCCTTGTACACAGATGTGTATCCTTAGTCCTGTGGGGCAGAAAACTCGGGAGTATCCAGTGAGACACAGATGTACATGCATGTATATGCACACACACAGAGATGTACGTGCGTGTATATGCACACACAGAGATAGATGTACACACACACACACACACACACACACACAGAGGAAAACAATACCAGGGGGATAAGTACTGAAAATTTGATGAAATTCTATCATGTAAATTACCGGGATTACTTCATGTGTATAAAGTATACTTTATACATAGTTTTTTGTAGTTTAATTAGAGCCACCTTTAAGTAGAAGAGACATTTAACACCGGGTTTTGAAAGACAGGAGGACTATCTTTTAAAATGCCAACCTGACCCTATTCCTCAAGCATGCCATGCTCCAAAGCATGGACGGAGGGCCAGGACGCCTGAGTGGTCTTCCCAGACTCCCTGGAGGTGATCTCTCGGGGAATAGAAGCCATTTTCACCTGAGAGCTTGTGGGTGGATGACAGAGAATGAAGATGCTGGTGGTAAACTGCCATTTGCAAGGAAACAGATGTCAAGCCAAAGGCACAGGAACCTGGAGGGAGGACCAGACAGAGTTCCCAGGAAGCCACGTGAGAGTCTGGATCTCCTGCTTCCTTAGCTCTTTCCAATGCTTTAGCCTCACCTCCAAGGTTTAGCAGCTTGGCACAAAGCAGTGATCCCGCCAGGACCAAGAAAAAGTCAGGCCCAGCTGCATGGCTCAGTGGTTGAATGCTGAGCTATGAACTAGGAGGTCACGGTTTGATTAAGGGCCCAGGCCTGAGTTGTGGGCTCCATCCTCAGTGTGGGGTGTGCAGGAAGCAGCCGATCAATGATTATCATCATTGATATGTCTCTCCCTTTCCTTTCCTCCCTGAAATCAATACACACACACACACACACACACACACACACACACACACGCGCGCGCGCGCGCGCGCACTGAGTGGCCAGATTATGATGATCTCTGAACTGAGGCCCAGTGCATGAGTGGGGTCCAGCCAGCCTGGCCAGGGGGAGGGGACATGGGTGGTTGGCCGGCCTGCCTACTGGTGGAATTCCTGGTTGAGGGGACAATTTACATAGTAGCCTTTTATTATATAGGATATACATTGAGTGGCCAGATTATTATGTGTTTAGAGATCATAATAATCTGGCCATTCAGAGTGTGTGTGTGTGTGTGTGTGTGTATAATTAAAAGAAGTAAAAAACCGGGTTAAATGCAAGATTTGAGGGCATTCCCAGTCCCTTTAATGGGGGAGTGCTGGTTGAAGCTAACTGGGGGGGAAGAGGGAAGAATGGGCAGAGCAAGGAGGAGGGCAAGAAAAACACTGAATAGGAAGGGCTTTTTTTAAAAAAAATATATATTTTATTGAGTTTTTACAGAAAGGAATGGAGAGGGACAGAGAGTTAGAAACAGCGATGAGAAAGAAACATTGATCAGCTGCCTCTTGCACACCCCCTACTGGGGATGTGCCCGCAACTAAGGTACATGACCTTGACCATAATTGAACCTGGGACCCTTCAGTCCCCAGGCTGATGCTCTATCCACTGAGCCAAACACATAGTTAGGGCTAGGAGGGGCTTTTAAAGTGTCTATGCTTTAGAATTTATCCAGATGAGATCCAAGATGGTGGCTTAGGTAAACACACCTAAACTGCTGCCATATACAACAATATCAAAACTACAACTAAAAGACAAAACGTTTATCACCCAGAACCATGGGAAAACTGGCTGAGTGGAAGCTCTGCAACTAGACTGAAAGAGAAAGGAGCAATCAGGGCACAAGCGCTGAAAAACTGAGGTACGGTACAGGGGCGAGTGCGATGCGGGCTGGCAGCGGATCCTGGCTGGCGGAGGGCATTGCTCTCTTCAACCTGAAGAGAGACAATCTCCCAGTCTCTCTGAAATCCAGTTTCTGGGGAGAAGCTGGACTGTCTGTCATCGGGTCAGAAAGTGAGGGTGGCTAGCTTGCAGAACTGTGCACAAGAATAATTGTTTTCTCTGCTGAGCCATGAGACATGGGTACGCGATCAGAGAGGTAGAGAAGGCTGACTGGCAGCCATTACTGTTTGCCACGCCCTAGTCTAGTGATGCCCTGAGACTCAGCCCCACACAATTTACACACTCCAAGCAGCTGCTTTTGCATTGAATGGCCTTCTCTATTGCAGTTTAACCTAGCAAACTTACAACCTGGTGCAGACAGCTCCAAAGCCTCCAATCTCCAAGCAGGGAGGTGAGGACTGTGGTTCTCACAGTAGTTCCTGCAGGGTGGCCTCAGACAGTAGCTGAACTGCACCGCATTGGAGATCCAGAAGCCAGTGTACCTAGTGGTCAGTGTGAGATACCAGATTGCAACTCCTCACATCCATAAGTGACACATTCGGGAGGCGGACTCAGTAAGCGCCAAAGCCTCACTGAAACAAGGCTTGCACCATAAGCGTGTCTCCAGCTCAGCAGTTCTCCATTACAGACACAGCGGGTCCTCACAGCCAATTGTCCTGGAGGTCAATTCCTCCCAGTGTACCAACAGCAATCAAGGCTTAACTACACCAAGACTTTGCACTCAGCCCACAAAGGGATGTACCAAGAGCCACCTCGCGTGATTAGGGAAGCTGAGCTACTGGCCCCTATAGGTCACCAACCACACAAAGCCACTCCATCAACACAGGGAGGCAGCCAAAATGCAGAGTCACAGAAGCATGTCATGAATGGGAGAGATGGAGGAAAGTAAACTACTGGACGACACAGAGTTCAGAAACACATTTATAAGGTTACTCAAGAATCTTCTAAAAACCACTGAGAAACTTGAAGAGACCTTCAAGGACCTTAATGAGAATACCAAAAAAATGGAAAAGGACCAGTCAGAAATTAAGCATACACTGTCTGAAATAAAGAATATACAGAAACTCAACTGTAGATCAATGTACCCCAAGAGTCAAACCAAAGATCTGGAATATGAGGAAGCAAAAGACACCCAACCAGAGAGGCAGAAAGAAAGAAGAATCCAAAAGTGTGAGGATAGCCAAAACCGGTTTGGCTCAATGGATAGAGCTTTGGCTTGGGGACTGAAAGGCCCCGGGTTCGATTCCGGTCAAGGGCATGTACCTTGTTTGCGGGCACATCCCCAATAGGGGGTGTGCAGGAGGCAGCTGATCGATGACTCTCATCAATGTTTCTATCTCTCTATCTCCCTTCCTCTCTGTACAAAATCAATAAAATATATATATATTTTAAAAGTGTTAGGATAGTATAAGGAGCCTCTGGGATGGCTTAAAGCGTACCAACATCTGGATTTTTGGGGTGCCAGAAGAAGAAAGAGAGCAAAATATTGAAAACCTATTAGAAGAAATAATGACAGAAAACTTCCCCTACCTGGTGAAAGAAATGGACTTACAAGTCCAGGAAGCACACAGAACCCCAAACAAGAGGAATCCAAAGAGGACCACACCAAGACACATCATAATTAAAATGCCAAGGGAAAAGACAGAGAGAGAATCTTGAAGCAGCAAGAGAAAAACAGTTAGTTACCTACAAGGGAGTACCCATACGACTGTCAGCTGATTTCTCAACAGAAACTATGCAGGCCAGAAGGGAGTGGCAAGAAATATTCAAAGTGATGAACAGCAAGAACCTACAACCAAGATTACCCAGCAAAGCTATCATTCAGAATTGAAGGTCAGATAAACAGCTTCACAGGCAAGAAAAAGCTAAAGGAGTTCTTCACCACCAAACCAGGATTACATGAAATGCTGAAGGGTATTCTTTAAGAAGGGGAAGAAAAAGAAAAAGATAAAGATAAAAACTATGAACAACAAAAAGGCATCAAATACAAACCTACCAATAAGTGAATCTAAAAATCAAGAGAATAAAAAATCTGAAGAACAGAATGGACTGGTGAATATAATAGAATCAGGGACATAGAAAGGGAGTGGACTGACAATTCTCCGGGGAAAGGTGTGTGGGGGTGCGGGAAGAGAGTGGACAAAAACCTTACACCCGTGGATGAAGACAGTGGCGGGGTTAAGGGCATGGGAGGGGGGGGGAAACCAGGTGGAGGGGAGCTATGGGGGGAAACAAAAGAGGAACAACTGTAATAATATGAACAATAAAGATTTATCATATAAAATAAAGTGCCTATGCTTTAGGATTTACATCATTGTCCAAACTGGAGCTGCATTTCCAGGAACTGATTTGTACTGACCTTGGCTTCTCACTGCATTGGGAGCAGGTTTTCCGCTCCCCATCCTCCTCCCTCCCGCCTTCCCCCTGGCGTCCTGGAACGTCCTCCCCGGCTCAACGCGGGCACTGGCCCTTTAAACGCGGGCACTGGCCCTTTAAACGCGGGCACTGGCCCTTTAAACGCGGGCACTGGCCCTATAAACGCGGGCACTGGCCCTTTAAACGCGGGCACTGGCCCTATAAACGCGGGCACTGGCCCTTTAAACGCGAGCGGCCGCGGCGCGGAGGTAAAGCTGACGTGGAGCTCGGAGCGGCGGCTCAGACACGTGGCGGGGCCGCCGCCGGGTTCCGGCAGGGCTCTCCGCTTTGGGCTGCACTCCTTCCCCGGACAGCAAAGCAGCTGCTTTGCCTCTCGTTGCTCTCCAGCGCCCACGCGCCGCCTCCGTGCTGGAATAAAGGATGCAGCTTAGAACGCTGTGCCCGCGCTCTGCCCGCAGTAAAGATGGCCGCCCCGCTCCAGCCGCCGCAGCGGCTCCGCCAATCGGATTCTTCCGGGCGGAAGCGGCGGCGAGAAGTGCCGGGGGCGGGGCTGAGGCTACTGCGGCGGCGTCCGAGCGGCTGGAGTCCGAGCGGCGGTTCGGCCGGGACGGCGTGGGACCCCAGCCTCGGGGGCGCAGCCTCTGCTTCCCGCGGGCGCAGCCGGCGGCGAGGGCCCGGCGGCCGCCATGCGGGCCTTCCTGGGGCTGCCGCTGCCGCTGCTGGTGAACCTGGTGGGCTCGCTGCTGGGGTTTGCGGCGACGGTCACCCTCATCCCGGCCTTCCGCGGCCACTTCATCGCCGCGCGCCTCTGCGGGAGGGACCTCAACAAGCGCGGCCAGGAGCTCATGTGAGCGGCGCCCGCAGGGCCCGGGGCGGGCGGGCGGCTGGGACCGGGCGTGGGACCGAGTGCGGAGGCGCAGCGCCCACGCGGCGGGCACACCAGAGGGAAGGACAGAACGGCCGCCCCGGGCGCGGGGAAGGGGCGCTCGGTGTGCCCGGCGCCAGCAGCGCCCCCCGCGCGTGGTGCCCAGCGCGCGCCTGGGAGTGACCACGCCCCCTCTGCCCCCGCCCTGCCCCGGCCGCAGCCCCGAGTCCCAGGGAGTGATCAGCGGCGCCGTGTTCCTGATCCTTCTCTTCTGCTTCATCCCCGTCCCCTTCCTGAACTGCTTTGTGGAGGAGCAGTGTAAAGCCTTCCCCCACCACGAAGTAAGTGGCTGGGGCGGGCGGCTGCCTGGGGCGGGGGCGGGGCCCCTGAAACTTGAAGTTTTTTGGGTTTGGGGGGAGGGGCTCTTTGTTGTTGAAAGGAGTGAAGAGGGAGGCGGGTTGAGTGACTTGCCCAGCCTCCCCCAGTTTGTGGCCCTGATAGGCGCGCTTCTTGCCATCTGCTGCATGATCTTCCTGGGCTTCGCGGATGATGTCCTGAACCTGCGCTGGCGCCATAAGTTGCTGCTGCCCACAGCTGCCTCACTCCCTCTCCTCATGGTCTATTTCACCAACTTTGGCAATACGACCATTGTGGTACCCAAGCCCTTTCGTCCGATTCTCGGCCTGCATTTGGACTTGGGTGAGTAGCCTGCTCCTGTGTCCCCTACTTCAGGGCACCCTGACCGCGTAAGAGACCCAGAGAGCGAGCGTCCTTCCTGATGCTCCGCATCCTCCTCCAGGTCCCTGCTCTGGCTCTGTCTTCTCAGATTCTCTCTGCTGGGCCTTCATCCTGTCCTCACCACTTTCCCAGAAGAATATCCTTAAATCCTCATTCTATACTTTTTGTTGTTACTCCTCACCTGAGGGTATTTTCCCATTGATTTTTAGGGAGAGTGGGAGAGAGAGGGAAAGACAGAGAGAAATATTGATGTGAGAGAAACACATCCATTGGTTGCCTCCTGCATGCTCCTAAGGAGGCCTGGGTCCAAGGAGGAGTCTGCAACTGAGGCCCCTACCCTTGACTGGAATTGAACCCAGGACCCATCAGTCCACAGGCCTATGCTCTATCCACTGAGCTGCCTGGACCCTCATTCTATACTTGGCACTGCTTTCCTCGCTGTCCTCTCCCCAGGGATCCTGTATTATGTCTACATGGGGCTGCTGGCAGTGTTCTGCACCAACGCCATCAACATCCTGGCAGGGATCAATGGCCTGGAGGCTGGTCAGTCACTAGTCATCTCTGCTTCCATCATTGTCTTCAACCTGGTAGAGCTGGAAGGTAAGCGGGACTGGGACAGGGGGAGAGAAGACTGAGTGTTATGAGAATTAGTTGCCTCATATCTGGCTTTGGGGAATTTGGAAAAAAAGCACTATGTTAATAATTATAAAATATAAGCGCTCTGGCTGGTTAGCTTAGTTGGTTAGAGCATTATCCCGATACACCAGGTTGTGGGTTTGATTTCCAGGACACATTCAAAAATCAACCACAGAATGCATAAATCATTGGTACAACAAATCAATATTTCTCTCCCTCCCTCTAAAAATCAATAAAAATATGCTCAGCCAGTGTGGATCAGTGGTTGAGCATTGACTCATGAACCAGTTCACAGTTCGATTCTGGTCAAGGGCACATGCCTGGGTTGTGGGCTCAGTCCCCAGTAGGAGGTGTGCAGTAGGCAGCCAATCAATGATTCTCTCTCATCATTGATGTTTCTATTTCTCTTCCTTTCCTCTCTGAAATCAATAAGAATATAATAAATATAGAAGATAAGGAAAGGTTACTTTGCAAATAACTAGATTTATTAAATGTGAGAAAAGCAGTTGCCTTGTCACCGATAGCTAGATTGGCACTAATAGGTGGGCTGTGGGCTTATTGAACATAAACAACTTCACAGAACCTCCCAGTCACTCTGTGACCATGAAAGTAAGACACAAACCAGACCCTCCATAACTGTGTGTGAGCATAGACAAAACCACTCTGGCTGACAGGAGTGATTGCTGCTTCCTTCTCACTCAGCTCCTTCCACTTAGATACAAACTAAGACGCTCATAGTCTTGCTCCTACAGCCAGCATCCAGACCCGTGCAGAACTCTGCCTCCTTGCATCTTCCTCAGAATTACTTCCTGCAAACCAAACAGCCGCGGATGGATTCCCAGTCAAAGGCACACATTTGGGCTGCAGTTCTGATCCCCAGCCCCCGGGTGTGTGTGTGTGTGTGTGTGTGTGTGTGTGTGTGTGTGTGTGTGTGTGTGCAGGAGGCTCACGATTGCTGTGCCTCTCTCACATTGATGTTTCTCTCTCCCTTTTTCCCACCACCCTCCCTTCCACTCTAAAAAAATCAATGAAAAAATATCCTCAGGTGAGGAATAAAACAAAAAAACTAAGCACTTTTAAAATGTTCAAACTTTATAAAAGCTTTGTGTGACAGGTGGTAATAACTGTATTTTATAGATGTGGAAACTCAGGCTTAGAGAAGTTACATTTGTCATGACCAAGGTTACAGTTAGGAGTAAAGCTTGTATTCAAACCTAGGTGAGAACGGCCTAAATCAATGTAAGGCAATAACTGGTTTAGAAAGGGTTTGTGAAAGAGCTAGAATGTTGAAAATTGCCTGGGTGACATAAAAGGGAGAGTGAGTTCTTTTTTTTTTTTTCTTTTAAATATTTTAAAAAATTGATTTCAGTGAGAGGAATGGAGGAGAGAGAGAAACATCAATGATCAATTGGCTGCCTCCTACACGCCCCCTACTGGGGATCGAGCCCGTACCCCCAGCATGTTTCATGTGTGTCTTGGGAGAGGTAGGCAGTAAAGCTTGGGACAAAACTTAGAAACAAAGACAGGGTATGCAGAGGAGTGGCGCTCACTTTTTCCGTCTCTCCCCCTGCTTCTGAAGGTGATTGTCGAGATGACCATGTCTTTTCTCTCTACTTCATGATACCCTTTTTTTTCACCACCTTGGGATTGCTCTATCACAACTGGTAAGTAGGTCTGTAGATGGGGGACACTGTTTTAACATGTGGCATGTATGGCCCTGGTCACAACCATCTAATGGAGAGGCTGTCTGTGCACATTGGGATTGAGTGTTTTCGGGTCTTCAGTTGGTCGTATTCCTAATTGCTCTCTAACCTGCAGAGGCTGGGTCCGGGTCTGTGGAGCCCCAGGAACAGATGGGCTCAGGGCCATGGGTCTGGGATGTGGCTGGGAGAGCTGGATGGAGTCCGGGTCAGAACTGGGTCAGGGCTAGCCCATGCCCAGGGTGAGAGGAAGGATTGATAGCGCCTTTTGCCACCGGCTCAGATCCTCTCCCCTGCACAGGTACCCATCACGGGTGTTTGTGGGCGATACCTTCTGTTACTTTGCTGGCATGACCTTTGCCGTGGTGGGCATCTTGGGACACTTCAGCAAGACCATGCTACTCTTCTTCATGCCCCAGGTGTTCAACTTTCTCTACTCCCTGCCTCAGCTCCTGCACATCATCCCCTGCCCTCGCCACCGTGTGCCCAGGTAGTTGCTTTGGGGCTTGAAAGGGACATCATGGCCTTGTCGCTTGGGATGCATAAAGCCAGCCTTACTTAGCCACTTGCTGTGTAAAGACAGTGGGCCAGAGGAGGCTGACTGTCCCTGTGCTTAGCATTTTATAAACGACAGAGCGCATTTACTTACGTAACCTCATTTAACCATCACAGCAGTTCTGATCACATAGTAAGCAGCAGAGCCAGAAAGATCTCAGGTTGTTTGAGTCCACATTCAGGATCCTTCCTATAAAATAAGGCCCAGCTACATAAAACTCTCTTCCCCTGCAGACTTAATGCCAGCACAGGCAAACTGGAGATGAGCTATTCCAAGTTCAAGACCAAGAGCCTGTCTTTCTTGGGCACCTTTATTCTAAAGGTAACAGGGGCCCTGGCTGGTGTGGCTCAGTTGGTTGGGTGCCTGTGCACCTGAGGTCACCAGATTGATTCCAGGTCAGGGCTTATACCCAGGTTGTGGTTTCGATCCCCAGTTGGGGTTTGTGCAAAAGGCAGCTGAACGATGTTTCTCTCTCTTTCCACTTCCTTCCTGTCTCTCTAAAATCAATTTAAAAACCCCCCACACACATGCCCTAACCAGTTTGGCTCAGTGGATAGTGCATGGCCTGTGGACTAAAGATCTCAAGTTTGATTCCGGTCAAGGGCACAAACCTCAGCTGCAGGCTCCTCCCCGGCCCTGGCCCTGGTTTGGGCACATGCAGGAGGCAGTCAATGGATGTGTCTCTCTCACATCGATGTTTCCCTCTCACATTGATGTTCCTGTCTTTCCCTCTCTCTTCCACTCTCTCTTAACATCCATTGGGGGGGAAAAACACACACAGAAACCCCCCCTCACATATAATGAACGGGAACAGGAACGAGGAAGTAAGGCTTTAGGCCACCATCCTGGATCCAGGGAGTGGGAACCGCGGCCTCACTCCACCCCAGGGGCGCAGTCCCCATTAGGTAAGCATAGGTATTCGCTGAGTTCTCTCCACCTCGGCCCTTCCAGGTAGCAGCGAGTCTGCAGCTGGTGACAGTGCGCCCGAGTGAGGATGAGGATGGCGCCTTCACAGAGTGCAACAACATGACCCTCATCAACCTGCTCCTTAAAGTCTTTGGGCCCATGCATGAGAGGAACCTCACCCTGCTGCTGCTGCTGCTACAGGTGTGCTGGGCACGGCTCGTACCTCCTTGCCTCCCTTCCCATGCTTCTCTCTGCAGCTCACTCTTCTTGCAGGTCCTGGGCAGTGCTGTCACCTTCTCCATTCGGTACCAGCTTGTCCGGCTCTTCTATGATGTCTGAGCTCCCTGGTCACTGCCTTCACTTCACAGTCTCCAGGCTCCCGACTCAGGCCAAGCTCGTTCTAGACCAAGATGCCTCTCAGCCCAGGTCCCTCCCGCCCCTCCTCCCCAGCCTTTCCTCCCCTGTGATGATTGACATGCTGGGCCTTTCCTGCCCTCCAGTGACTATTGACTGGACTTCACCGATAGTTTTCTTCAACTTGCCACTCTCCCCTGAGGGTGGGGGAGACATGTGGCTTTTAGGGTTTCCACAGCTCCAACCTTCAAGGAGTAGGCTGGGCTTGGGGCAGAGCCCTGGCTCATGATTGGGACACAGGCTCTGAGAAAACTTCACACTAGACTTTATAATTAAGGGTTCTAATTAGTAAAAGAAGGGGGTGCAGGTGCTCCCAGTGGTAACAATAAAGTGATGTTTTTTCCTTGTCCTATAGGCGTTTTTCCTCCTGGGCACCTTAGGGTAGATTGAGAGGGTTGGTAGGGGCCCTTCCTCTAAGATGCCTATCTCTCCGCCATCTACCCCCCCCCCCCCCCAGTACCCTTCTAGCAAGATTGTGAGCAGAAAGAACTGAGACCCGTAGAGCCTGTTGGATAAATTTGAAATCCTGGTATTTCAGGTAGCCATAGATTGATCTGCTCCCGGATGTAGGACGGGAAATTCCACTGGCCCTCATTTCCTTTTTCACTCCCCTCGCTGTACTGGAGGGAGAAGGGAGTGACCAGATCGGAAGAGGTGGCAGGGGACTTTTATTTTTTAAAGCATATTTTTATTGATTTCAGAGAGGAAGAGAGAGAAACATTAATGATGAGAGAATCATTGATTGGCTGCCTCCTGCCTGCTCCCCTCAGGGGATCGAGCTTGGGCCCTTGACTGGAATGGAACCCAGACCCTTCAGTTCACTGGTGGAGGCTCTATTCATTGAGCCAAACTGGCCAGGGCAAGAGCTCTCCGTTTTAATTTTTTATTTTAATATATTTTATTGATTTTTTTTTACAGAGAGGAAGAGGGAGGGATGGATAGTTAGAAACATCAATGAGAGAGAATCATCAATCAGCTGCCTCCTGACACCTCCCACCGGGGATATCCCCGCAGCTCTATCCACTGAGCCAAACCAGTTTCGGTTTGAGCTCTCCCTTTTATTTTTTTTTATTTTATTATTATTTTTTTTTAATATATTTTATTGATTTTGTACAGAGAGGAAGGGAGAGAGATACAGAGTTAGAAACATTGATGAGAGAGAGTCATCAATCAGCTGCCTTTTGCACACCCCCCACTGGGGATATGCCCGCAACCAAGGTACATGCCCTTGACCGGAATCGAACCTGGGACCTTTCAGTCCCCAAGCCAACGCTCTATCCATTGAGCCAAACCGGTTTCAGCTGAGCTCTCCCTTTTAAAAGGCCCAGTTCCACACGCTTCCCCGTGGTTCTCCGGGCGGATTCCGACTCCACCCTCCTTGGTTTCCGGTTTGGGTCGCTGACGTAGCGTTTGAATCTCGCGCGCTCCCCGCGGATTGGCTGCGGGAGGGAGTGAGGCTGGCCGCGCACCGTGCTCCTCGCCGTCTTCCCCGGGCAAAAGGTTTTCAAATTCGACCAATCGGCTGTCGCGCTCCCTCAGCCGAGACGGGTCACCGAGGCTTAACTGCAACCAACCAGAGGCGCTATTAGAGAAAATAACCAATCAGGAGGGCTCGGAGGCGGGCCCTGAGGGTTTATAAGGGCGGACCCCCGGCGCGCGCGGCAGCATTTAGACTGCGTCGGGCAGCTTCGTTCCGGTGGCTGCTTTCCGTTTCTCCTCGCCGCTCCTCGCTCCTCCGCCTCGCGCAGCATGTCGGGCCGCGGTAAGACCGGCGGCAAGGCCCGCGCCAAAGCCAAGTCGCGGTCGTCGCGCGCCGGCCTGCAGTTCCCCGTGGGCCGCGTACACCGGCTGCTGCGGAAGGGCCACTACGCCGAGCGGGTCGGGGCCGGCGCGCCCGTGTACCTGGCGGCCGTGCTCGAGTACCTGACGGCCGAGATCCTGGAGCTGGCGGGCAACGCGGCCCGCGACAACAAGAAGACGCGCATCATCCCGCGCCACCTGCAGCTGGCCATCCGCAACGACGAGGAGCTCAACAAGCTGCTGGGCGGCGTGACCATCGCGCAGGGCGGCGTGCTGCCCAACATCCAGGCCGTGCTGCTGCCCAAGAAGACGAGCGCGGCCGTGGGCCCCAAGGCGCCGGCCGGCAAGAAGGCCACGCAGGCCTCCCAGGAGTACTGAGGCCGCCGCCCCACCACAAAGGCCCTTTTAAGGGCCACCACCGCCTCGCGGAAAGAGCTGAGCCGCCCCCGCCCGCCGCCCTCCCCGCTCCCGGCGCTGCCCCGGCCGCCCTGCCCTTGGAGCGGCCGGCGGGCCGCTGCCCTGACGCAGCGCCGCCGCGGCCTGGGCCGTGCAGTCCTCCGGCTCTGCCGCCGGAGACTCGGACCCTCAGGTGTGCGCCGCCACCCCGGCCGCCAGGCCCCGGCCTTCCCACCCGCTCCCCTGCGGCCCGCGGCCTGGGCTTGCGCGTCCCCCGGACCCGGCGCCGGCCTGGCCTCGCCCCGCGGCAGGCACCCGCACGTCCGGGGCCCCCGCCCGGGCCCCTCGTTGGTCTCCGGACGGAATTTAGCAGCTAACCCAACCAAGAGCAGGTACTGGAAGTTTCAGATGGACTAGTTTTGTTTATTAAAGGATTTTTTAAGAAACGTATCCTGTTTTCATTTCGCTCCGCAGCCTTGTAGGATTGAGGGCTTGGAGGTCCCTGCCCTCCCGGCCCTGGGGGGAGGGGAGACGCAGGTGTAAGGCTGGTTAGCCGAGAGCAAACGGGACTTTAAGGTCATAGCTCCTTCGGTGTGCCTGGGAGCCCGTTTGCTGTCCGAGGAGAAATGAGGACCATCGAGGCAGAAACACGGAGTGTTCCAGAGGCACCTCTGAAGGAGTTAAGGGTTCTGTTTGTCCTCTACCCTGCAAGCCCACCAAAACAAAGACCGGGGCCCGTCAGAGCTGGTTTATTAGCAGACTTGGTTACATTTCAAAGGCTCAGGCCCTGAGGAGATGACGCCCCAGCTGCTGCGCAGGCTCGCTTTCCCTGCAGGTCTGGTCCTGCGGCTCCGGAGCCCCGAGCCCCTGGCTGCGGGCACTGGGCAGCAGCAGCCCATCCCAGACCAGTCAGTCAGTGGGCATCATTAAGCTGCCGAGCGACGTCCAAGATGCTCTTGGCTCCTTTGTTCAGCAACAAGTTGGCCAGGCTGGTGCCCAGGTTCTCAGCAGCCAGCTGGGCTACCCGTGGAATGTTCTGGGCAGTGATGCCCACCAACTGTGGGTCATCTTCAGGGCCATCTTCATGCTGGGTGAGGGAAAAACGTGGGTTCGGTGAGCACCAAGGGGAGAGGAGGCAGGCTTGTTTCTTCCCTCCCCTTCCCCTCGCCTTAGCACCTGGGCAGGGACAGCGATGGTGGCCTGCATGGTCTCTTGCATGCTCTCCGAGCCATCCAGACTCCAGACTCCTCCAGTCAAGTACAGCTGAAAGGAAAGCCTCAGCATGTCCCAAGGGAACCGCTTAGAATTCGGGGCTCTTCTTGCTGGCAAGGTGGGATGCCCAGGGAGAAATGACAGCCCTTCCCTACCCTTCCACCACTTCCCTGCTTACCTGCCCATCCTTAATAGCCGTGTGCACTGCTACGGGAACACTGCAGCCTCCTTCCTGCAGGAAGGTTTCCCTGTGAGCCCCAAAGACCCTTAACCTCCCTGTGCCCAGATCCAGAAACAGGCCTGTGAGGACGTGACTGAGGAGGCTAAGAACCCAGACCTGGTCCTCTTCATACACAACATTCAAGAACGAGTTATCACTAAGTACCCAGCATCCACGTGACAGTTTCCCACCCCCCCTTCCCAACTCCTGTCCCGCCACAGCGGAACACGCTCCTACCAGGTGCTTTAGGAAGGCTCGTTCGGCAATGCAGCAAAGCAGGGTCTCAGGATCGTGCAACATGCCCACCAGGTCCAACATGTCCTGGTCCTTGGCTCGCACTTCCACGCCCAGGGCCCCCTGATGGAAGCACAGCCTGACATCAGCCCAATCTTTCCCCGACTAGTGGAGCCTTCAACTGCTCCCCAAGGCCTGCCTCCTGGGAACTTGGGTGCACATGGTTGTACAACCAGCTCCTTGGGCAGAGCATACCTGACCCACAGCATACATGCAATCTTCGGGGTGCAGGATCTATGGGGGAAGAAGAGGCAGAAGTATAAAGACAGGGTGACATACAGCAGTGAGGGGCTCACTGTTGACAGATAGCTTGGACAGAAGGAGGGAGTCGGCCTCTGATTCCCCATCTTCCCAGCTGACAGTGTTAGAAGCAGGGTGTTCAAAAAGAGCATGAGTGACCACAATACAGGCAGGGCTAAGGACCTGGGTGGGAGGGGATGGGCCCACCTGCCCCACGCGGTTCTGCCAGCCCATGCGCTGCAGGCCCGCTGCCGCCAAGATGATGGCACTGAACTCCTGCAGCTCGTCCAGCTTCTGAAGCCTGGTATTGAGGTTTCCCCGCTGAGGAGCTGCTAAGGACCTGACACTTTATAGATGCCTAACTTTTTAAAAAATTAAATCTTCATTGTTGAAAGTATTACATATTTCCCCCCATCGATCACTTCTAGGCGCCCCCCTCCCGGGCCTGCACCACACTATTGTGTGTCCGTGGGTTATGCATAGATGCATACAAGGCTGATCTCTTCCACCCCACCTTCCCTCTGCGATTCCACAGTCTGTCCCATGCTTCCAGGGCTCTGGATCTACACTTGAGTGGCCAGATTATTATGATCTCTGAACGCATAATAATCTGGCCACTCAGTGTATTTGTATCTCAAATGGGTGCCAAAAGTATTCTAGACTTTTGCTGGAGATCAACCACCTATTTGTCCTGAGCTTTCTTTCTTACTTTTTTTTTCTTCTCTTTTTTTTTTTTATGGAGGTAGAGAATTTTTTTTTCATTTTTTTTATTAAGGTATTATATGTGTACATATCTTACTTACCATTGCTCTCCCCCAACTCCCATATATGCCCTCACCGCCCAGAGTTTTGCGTCTATTGGTTATGCTTATATGCATGGATACACGTCCTTCGGTTGATCTCTGTCCTGAGCTTTCTACCAGCCAGTGCAAAGGGGAAACTGATCCGGTGCACGATTTATAGTATCTTTGATATCAAATGAGGTATTCAAGAGAAGTACACTGAGTGGCCACATTATTATGCGTTTAGAGATCATCATAATCTGGCCACTCTGTGTTTTGTTCATTAGTTTATTTTGTTCATTAGAATCCACATATGAGTGAGATCATGTGACACCTGTCTTTCTCTGACTGGCTTATTTTGTTTTCTAGCTGGCCAACTTCTCTTTTGGTTCTCAGCTTAATGGAAGCAGTTAACAGCTCATATTGCATGCCAGATAATATTCTAAAGTGCTATGTACGTATGCCAACTCATTTAGTTTTCACAAAAACTCCATGAGGTTTTATTGCTATCTACATTTTACAAATGAGGAAAATAACAGAGAGGGCAAATAAATTAAATTGCCCAATATTACAAAGATCTCTCAGAAATCTTACTTGCCCCCAAAATCTGTGTTTAAATGTTCTAGTTAGAAGCTTCCAGAGAATTCCCTAATTTGCACATTAGAGCACTTACTTCATACCATTTTAGCTTTATAAGACATACTACATATTCATTGTAAAAATCAAAATACAGCCCATAAAATAAAAATGGAAGTGCCCTTCTCATCCCCATCACCCCGCCCTCCCCGCAGCAATCACTGTTCAGCATCCCTCTGTATTATCAATGCCTATTTGTCTCCCAACTAAACTAAATTCCGAGCAGAGGCAATGCCGACGGGAAGGGTTATGAGTGGATGAATGGAAAGACAGACAACCCACTGCCCCCTGGCCTCTTCCTTGGAAGCCCTTCGTTTCAGGGACTCTCGGGCCCCTGGACCTCGCCTTCCACCGGCTGCATCTGAAAGGATACGATGCTCTTGAGCTGCAGGTGTGGGAACTTCCTCTGCAGCTGGGCCGCCCTCCGCAGGGAGCTGGTTCCCACCACACTGCTCCCAGACAGGGCTGAAGTGAGATGTGACACCAGGCAGGCACTGTTCCTTTCCTCCTCCTCCTCCCGCTTCTGTGCATGTCCCACCCAGATGCCTAGCCAGGCACTCACCTCTTCTCTGGCAAGGTCTCTAGGGTCTTCCCAACAAATTTTGGGTGAAAGACAACAGCATCATAGGGGTTCTCTCGCCTAGGGTGGAGGGAGGGTTGTAGAATGAGAGCGCTCAGTTCAGGTCATATCCAGTTTCTCCCGACAGCCACTAACGGGCGTTTCCGGAGTTTTTCTGCCATGCTTACTACCTCCGGGCAGGGAGACCGCCCAAGAGGAGGGCCAATCCCAAAGGGAAAAGCCAGGCTCACTCCCTGCCCTCCTGCCCTCCCCGCGCGGCCCGGATGCAGAGGACACTGACTTGCAGACGGCGCCGATGGTGAAGCCTGGAGGAAGCACGGTGGGCAGGTCCTTCAGGGAGTGCACAACCAGGTCCACTCTAGAGAGGTGGGATGGGGCAAGGAGAAGGTCCAGGCAGCAGCCTCCACCTCTTCTCCACATCCCGCCTCTACTCCAGCAGCCACGCCAGGAGCGGTTCCAGAAGCAGGCCTCAGAGGCCTCAGGACCCTTCTTTTCTCCCCCTTCCCGCCCCCCTTCCCCAATCAATCTGGCTTGGCTCAGAATCAGGATCTTCTTTTCTGACACCTAAAACATACACATACGCCTCGCTCTTGAGCCCGTCCAAGGGTCTAAGCCCAGCAGCTAGCGGAGAGCCAGGTCTGCTGCCCATGGGCTGGGGGGCCCACACTCCTGCCCTCCACTCACTCATTCCTCTCCAGCGCGTGCTCCAGCTCCTTGGTAAACAGGCTCTTCTCTCCAATCTGCCACCAGAAGGGCGAGAGAGTGAAACTCTTGGGAGAAGGAAAGAGGAGGGGACGCAGGCGGGCGTGCGGGCAGTGTTACCTTAGAGAGTGCGGTATCAAGAATCTTGTCCCCTGTGGTGGACATAGCAACTGAGGAGAGAGTCAGCCAGTCACTCATTGATCAGTCTTCACTGAGCCCCCCCCTGACCCCAGCACAGTGCTACGGCTTGGGGTACACAGGGCGCATAGCCCCATCTCTAACCCTCTGGGAAAGTACAATCTAGCAGGAAGATCAGACACCCTCATGAAAAGCCCCAAGCCCTGGCTGGTGTGGCTCAGTGGATAGAGCATTGGCCTTGGGACTTAAGGGTCTTGGGTTTGGTTCCTGTCAAGGACATGTACCTCGGTTGCAGGTTTCTTGGCCCTGGTTGGGGTGTGTGCAGGAGGCAACCAATCAATGTGTCTCTCTCACATTGATGTTTCTGTCTCTCCCTCTCCCTTCCACTCTCTGAAATCAATAGAAAGATATCCTTGGGTGAGGATTAACTAACTAACTAACTAAATAGGCTTGATGCAGAAGACATTAAATGCCAGGCTAGTCCAGGTAGAGGGGCAAGGAGTCTTTCAAACTTGGAGTAGCCAAAAATGTTTGGAGACCACAGGACCAGGCAGTGGTCCCAGGCAAAGCTGGAAACACTGTGCTCTGCTTCCCCTTAGCTTCCATTGCTGTCCGAAAAACTCACTGATTTCAAACTGCAGGCCCGGGTTTAAGGTTTTCAGCATTGCCACCACACTGTCCGTCTGTATGCGCGCCAGCTGGGGGCAGAAATTGGCATTAGTCCTGTTCTTCCCTGGCCACTGCCCTGAGCTTAGATGCTCATAAGGTCAAGACAATCCTGAATGGATCGGAATTCAAAGAAGGTGTTGAATGCCCACCTTGAAGAAGAGGGGTCTGGTTTGGGAGTCCTCTGCACCCCAACAGCTTCCCCAGCCCAGGAACTTTCTCTCCACAGAATGCCTAAAATCTTAACACCCAGCCACCCCATTTCCTCCAGCCCTGAGTTGCTCGGCCCCCCAACTTATAATATTGTACACACAGACTTTCCACAAACCTCCGCACTCACCTGGCTCTTGCGGGTACCCACGCGAATCACTCTCATCTTTGGGTTTTTTTCTTCCTGCAAAAAAAGTCCCCATGTCACAGTCCCTCTGTCCCTTGTGCTCCTCAACACCTTGTCAGAGAAACAATCACTGTCTTGGAAGAAAGGAACCTCAGCCTCTGTCCTCCGTACCTTCTGCTCTCCTCACAGACAGATGCAGAGACCAGAGGGAAACAACAGTAGGATATGCTGTTGCCGCACTAACCAGGGCCTGAGCTTACAGCCCATCCTGGCCACGGCAGGGGAGTGCTGCACAGAGCCAGGTGGACAAAGAGATAAGGACCATCAGTGTGGCCACAGGGAGGGTGGGGCTGCGGCCTAGGGGCAGGGCAGCTGGAGCCACACAGGCTGAGTCACTGAGACAAGTCCAAGCATCCACAGGGATCAGGCACCAAGGAAGCTTCAGCGCCACCTAGATCCAAGAGCTACCCAACAGCTGCCAAACTATGAAGCCCCGAATCTGATCAAATGACACACAAGGTCTGGGGAGAGAGGTATGTATGAGAGGGGGGGAGGGGGACAATGGTAAGATATGTACACAGATAATTTAATTTAAAAAAAAAAATAAAGAAAATAAAGACACACAAGAGACTGAGGTCAACAGATCTGATTAGAGTCCTGCTCCGCCTCTTGGCTGGGTGATCCTGAGCACATCATCCCTTCAGTACTTGCTTGTTCATCTATAAAATGAACAAGAGCTACCAGGTGCCTTTGATGCTCTGTAAGACTAAGAGACATTCACCTGGAGTGCCGCCTCTGGTTTCACCAACAAGGAAATATTGGAACATCAAAAACAAACCAAGAACTCAAAACAGCTCTAACCGGTTTGGCTCAGTGGATAGAACGTCAGCCTGCAGACTCAAGGGTCCCAGGTTCGATTCTGGTCAAGGGCATGTACCTTGGTTGTGGGCACATACCCAGTAGGGAGTATGCAGGAGGCAGCTGATCAATGTTTCTCTCTCATCGATGTTTCTAACTCTATCCCTCTCCCTTCCTCTCTGTAAAAAAATCATAAAATATATTTTTTTAAAAATAAAAAAATAGCCGGCACCGGTTTGGCTCAGTGGTAGAGCGTCGGTCTGCGGACTGAAAGGTCCCGGGTTCGACTCCGGTCAAGGGCATGTACCTTGGTTGCGGGCACATCCCCAGTAGGGGGTGTGCAAGAGGCAGCTGGTCGATGATTCTCTCTAATCGACGTTTCTAGCTCTCTATCCCTCTCTCTTCCTCTCTGTGAAAAATCAATAAAAATATATTTAAAAAAAAATAATAAAATAAATAAATAAATAAATAAATAAATAACTCAAAACACTCTCCTTCCAGGACAAAGGTGTTCAGTGCCAAGCAAGCAGAACTGGATTCTTCAGTCTGACATCTTATTTCTTTCTAGATCTGACAGTTGTCACTGTAGAACTTTCAACTTTCCCTGTTCTGGGCTCTTTAGGCCAGGGAGCTCTTTTGCTAGGCAGGCACTGAGGAGTAGGTGGCAGCTAGTTGGTCTTGGACTGCAGTATACTCCATTTCCGTCTCTTCTCTAAACAACAAACACTGGCTAGCCAGCATGGCTCACTGGTTGAGCATCGACCTACGAAGCAGGTCATGGTTCGATTCCCCATCAGGGCACATGCCTGGGGTTTCGGGCTTGATCCCCAATGGGGGTTGTGCAGGAGGCAGCTGATCGATGTTTCTCTCATCATTGATGGTTCTATCTCTTTCCCTTTCTGAACTCAATAAAAATATATTAAACAAACAAAATCCAATCCTGCCTTGGGGGAGCCTGAGAAGTTAGGCTAGGCATGGAATGCTAAACATGGCCAGTAATTCTGGGCCACAGGGAAACCACAGAAAGAAATCTAAGGTCCTAGAACTGCTAGGTTCAAACAATCCCTTAGTTCATTGAGTCTGCACATAGCAGAGTCAAGTCAAATGACTCCATCAGAACTGATTAACATGTATGACAGAGCTACCGCTTTCAATCTTATGGCCACATATCAGGTGGACAGGGCAGGAGCCTTCGGGACCATGTTGTAACAGCAAAGCCTGGCTCCTAAGGGTGAAGTGACTTGCCCAGGGTCTCACTGCTTCTAATGGGCAGAGGGCTAGAGCTGGAATCCAGACCTTTCTACTCCCAGTCCAGTGCTCAGGAATGGCTGCAGTGACAAGGAATCCTCTACTCACTAGCAGGCTGGCAGCTGCAGATAAGCAGCTGCCCATCTTTCTTATCTCAGGCCAGCAGCAGTCCCAGAGGCTCTGCTGTTTGCGTCTGCACCAGCCCAGAGGTCCCCGGGAGCCACTGGGGAGAGACTCCAGGGCGCTCCCCTCCTGCCCCCAGTGGGAGGGGGGTTGCAGCCTTATTTTATTTATTTATTTATTTAAATATATTTTATTGATTTTTTACAGAGAGGAAGGGAAAGAGATAGAGAGCTAGAAACGTCGATGAGAGAGAAACATCGATCAGTTGCCTCTTGCACACCCCCTACCGCGGATGTGCCCGCAACCAACCGCAACCAACGTACATGCCCTTGACCGGAATCGAACCTGGGACCTTTCAGTCTGCAGACCGACGCTCTAACAGAGCCAAACCGGTTTCGGCAAACTTTTTAATTTTTAATTGATTTCAGAGAGAGGAAGAGAGACAAACATCAATGATGAGAATCATTGATCGGCTGCATGTGCCGATCTACGGGAATCCGGTCTACGCTCACTCCCTGGGCCACCCCGCCGCCCGCCGCAGCTGGGGTTTGGAGAGGATGGGGCTGGGTGACTGCTGAGACGGGGAAAGGGAAGGAGGTGCACCTCCTGGATGTGTGTGCAGTTCGGAGGCTGCGGGGCGTGCTCTCCCCTCTGGATGCACGTGGGACATTCCCCAAGATGGCGGGACCCACCGCGGCCCGCCCGTGGGAAGGGATCCCGGGGACGGCCCGTCCTCTCGGTCTGGGCGCTACTGTGCAGCACGAACTTCCTCCGTCTGGGCCACCTGAATCTAGACCCGCCGGAGCCAGGCCTGGAGGACCCCCACCCAGACCCCCGCAGACAGGGGGCGACTCCTCCATTCTTAACCCCGTCAGCACCGCCCGCCACTTCCCTCCTTCGCAAGGGCGGCTCAGCTGCTGGCCCTTTAATAGCTATCGGGCGGGGCCAGGAGGGGGAAGACGGACAGTAGTTCCGACCAATAGACGACAGAGAGTGGCAACCTGAAGCCAATCACTGCATCCCTCGTCCGGATACGAAGTTCTTAGGGTCACGGGTTTAGGACTCACCGCCGGCGCTGCCGTGTGGCTGGTGGCAGCCATGGCAGTCCCGGGCCGCAGGCTCCGCGCGGGGCTCCGAACTCGGGACGCCGGCGGCACCGGCTGGCGGGCACGGGCGCCACGGAGAGCCTCCGCCGCGGCGCCGGCTCGGCCCGGCTATGTCACTACCGGCGCCCGCCCTCGGAGGGGCGGTGCTGCCCCTGGGCGGGAATTGGGATTGCGACAGACCCGGGCCCTGCGGCTCCGCCCCTACTCCGTCAAGCTGAGGCTGACGCCGACTTCCTTGCCCGTCTTCCTGGTTTGAACCCAGCCTCCACCTGCTCATTTCTGCCTCCACCTCCACGGTTCCGCACGCAGTGCTGGCCGTGGCTGAGCGCCCAGAGGAACCCCGCTGCTCCCCTTTGCAGACCCCTTTATCTGCTCATCATCCGGTGCTGAGCACCGCACCAGCGTACCCCGAGAAGGCAGACTTAGGCCCACGGCTCCTTATCAGAACCTGCCTCCCACCCAAGTATTTTGTACAAAGAACCACGGAGCCAGCCAGACTCAGAGCGACTCAGAGCAGAACTGTTGGAGGGACCGCAGTCCTGGGAACTTTTGCGGCGGGGCTTCAGTAAGCGGGGCCCCTGGGTGCCACAGGCCCCGCCCACCCATGGAATGTAGTCAAACCAACCAGACCTTTAAAGTGGTCTGTGAAGGAAGTGGGCCCTGGAGCTCTAGGAATGCAGAAGTAATTCTACAGTAAAGAATCATCAAGTCCCAGAGTAACTTTATCAACCTTGAAACCGATGTAAAAAAAAAAGTTTTTTAAATGATTTTTTTAGAGAGGGAGGGAAACATTAACTGATAGGCTGCCTCCTGCACACCCAAGCACGTGCCCTAACTGGGAATCAAACCAGCAACCTTTCTGTGTATGGGATGACATCCAACCCAGGCCCACCGGCCAGGACTGAAATGGTTTACCCATAGACTCTGGGAGCAAGAACATGGTTTACCCATAGACTCTGGGAGCACAGGCTGGTGCTCTTGGATGGAGAATAAAGCAGCTATTGTCTATGCATGGAGGTTGTTGAAGTGCCCTCCCCCAGAGTTTGAATGATCAACACTGCTCAGAAAGTTAACAGGAAACAAGATGGGCTGGCCAAAGAGACGACAGGAAAAAAAATCCCCTTTAGTCCTGAGGCTGTAGCATCAGATCAAAACAGAGGCCGGACCCTGGCTGCCTGATTGCCTGGGTAATAGCTCTGCTCAGTCCTGTATTCCTGCTGCTGGGCCTCCCCCTCCTTCGTTTCCCCAAGCTGTTCAAGTGCCCCTCCTGGAGTGCACAAGCAGGTCCCGCTGCAGCCCAGACTCCAGGCTTCCGGCCAGCCTCGTCGTAGGAGGGTCAGTGAGCAGTGTCAGTTTGTTGAAAACGCCTCGGCCGAAGTAGTCAGCAATCACAGAGAAGCTGTCGTTGGAGCACTGGAGCTGTGGGAAAGAAGAGCAGGAATCAGAACTGAAGGGCTCAGTTTCCTCACATGAGCTCCCCTGCAGTGCTCCCGACTCTGAGTGAGCACTCATCTGGCCACTCTTTCCTACCTGGTGCTGGAACTGGTCATGGAGATCGCGTCTCTGTTCCTGGGCCCGGATCATATCCATGACCTTGCGGTTTTCAGGGAGGCAGGTGGGGCAGTCAGCATCACTTTCCGAGTAACTCTCGAAGCAGTGCTGGTGGAACGAGTGTCCACAGAGGAAGTGGACTGAGGGCAACTCCAAGGCACTGTTGCAGATGCTGCACTTGGTCTTCTGGAAAATCTTCGGGCTGCAGCAAGGGAGAGGAAAGGAGTGGCCAACAGTGAGGCAGGGCCAAGAGCCACGGAGAGAAGGCAGTGGGTGGGTCCCTAAGGGAGCGCTCCAGGCCCTGCTCTCCTCACCACCTATGAAAGGCCGGAGTTCGTTTCAGTATGTTCCCAGAAGTCCACCACCCAGGGTGCTTTTCTCTGTCAGCCTCACCACTGCCACAAAACTAACTGTCAGGTCTGTTTTCAAAAAGAAATACAAAGCTGCTTAATTTATATGTATATATAGTAGACATATGACCCTTTCAGAGGCCTCTCCCAAACACCTTAGAATCTCTCTCTCTCTCTCTCTCTCTCTCTCACACACACACACACACACACACTCCTCACCCTACTCCCAATTCCTCAATTTTCTTCTTTGAACTTAACACCATCTAACATACTATAACATTTTGCATATTTAATATGTTAACTGTCTGTCTCTACCTCTACAATGTAAACTCCACTGTGTTGTTAACAGTACTTGGGCCCTGCCAGCATGGCTGTGATTGAGCATCTCTCCATCTTCCTTCTCTGAAATCAATTAAAAAAGAAGAAGAGTACTTGGAACATAATAGGGGCTCAGTAAATATTTGTGGGATTGTTCTCTAATACACATTTTACAATTTTAAGGGCAAATAATATTTAAAGAGTTAGCATTAATGTCTACTATATATACATTGTAAATTAAGCACTTTTGTATTTCTTTTTGAAAATATGTTCTTATTGATTTTAGAGAGAGGAAGAGAGGGGGAGAGAGAGAAACATCATTGAGAAAAAAACCATTGATCGGCTGCCTCCTGCACTCCCCCTACTGGGAGCTGAGCCCACAATCCGGACCAGGCAACCTCCTGGTCCATGGGATGATGCTCAACCAACTGGGCCACACTGGCCAGGCCCCTTTTTGTGTTTTCTAAAGCAAAGTTTTTACCTCTGAATGGTTTCTAACCACACAACTTAGATGTGTGTTTAGAAAATGTAAAATACAGAGAAGCAAATACAGAAAGAAAAGTACCCATACTAGATAATATCCTGCAAAGCCCGATAAATAACCATCTCTTTTGGAATTCCTCCATTAAAATATCTGCATGAAATGCTCAAACGCACTCCATGTATCTTTTGTCTTTTAAAAGCACTGACACCTGTGAAGGGCAAGGTTACCCTGGACTCCGCCAGCCGCTCGATGCCAGTACCTCGCCTGGAGCTCCTGGATCTCCTGGCGGATGCGGGCCGTCTCCTCGCGGTACCGCCGCACCCGGAGCTCGTCCTGTGCAATCTGCTGGCTCTGTTTCTGCAGTTTCTGGACCAGGTAGTCCCGGATGACAGACAGGGTGGCGGTGGAGTTGTGGGCCAGGGTCTGCACCACTGAGATTGGAGTCCAGGGGGAAACAAATCAAGCAGTACCCACCGGACAGGGCTCCTGCCCCAGCACCCCTATTTTCAGCAGTTGGCACCTACCCACCCACCCTGTCCTCCCAAGTACCTAGAAGTGGTGGCATGAGGTTCTTGCTCTCAATATGCTTGAGCACAGCTGCCACATACTCCTTGCAGTCCTCCTCCTTGCGGGCGAAGTAGCTGAGCGCCTGCTCCCACAGAGAGGGCTCCTGCTCCCCGTGGCGCTCACACACGGCGATCACCTGCCGGTACTGCTCGTGCTGCATGTAGTAGTGCATCATCTGCTGGTACCTGTGCCAAGCAGGCCACTCAGAGGCCATCCCGGGAACATGACTCGGACCCTTCCTCCTTCCCTGAAATTCCCCAACTCTTACAGCTTCCCCTGCTCGTAGAGGTGCAGGACCCCGTCCTGGAAGTCGTGCATCTGGCAGAGGACCAGGGCCTTGTCAAAGACATCGCAGAAGCGGCCGCTCTTCAGGAGGGAGATGGCCTCTGCGTGAAGCTTCTCTTTGACCTGGGGCAGGAGAGAGCTCTGGCCACAAGGAAAAACCCACACGGCCTCTTGGGCAAGGCAAGCCAACTCTCTTCCCCTCAGCCCCATCTCCTTCTTCCTGAGGACATTTAGCACCGTGGTGAGGTCTGGAGAAGCAGCCAAAGCAACCACAGAAGATGGAAGAACGGTCTGTGCTCCAGCACCTCCTGCAGCTTTCCCAGCCTCACCTGTGGGTCCTTCTCATGGGCCCAGTTCTGTAGTCGTAGCTCAAGGAGCGTGTCGTAGATGCCCTGCGGCGAGTCGGGCTGCACCGCACTCATGTGCTCCAGGAAAGCTTTCAGCTCTCGTGGGTTGTTGGCAAAGATGGGGATGAACTCCTCCGAGTTGGCCTGAGATGGTAATGGAGGGGGGAGGCGGAGTGAGTGAGCCTGATGCCTAAGATGCCCCAAAGAGGATCCCTGCTGTCCAACAGCCATTCCCCAGGCTCACCCTGCAGCCTGGGGACTCCCCGTCACCCTGGCCTTCAAGGCTGGGCCGATAGTTGGTACAAAGTCCCTTCAGCAACTGGGTCGTCTGCTCTGGTATGTGGTGCATGAGGATCTTGCCGTAGCGTTTCATGTTGCTCTCTGCCTGCTCAAAAGGCAGCTTGCCAATGTACCGAAGGGCTTCCTGATAATTCTGTGGAGACATAAAGGGCAGAGTAAGGGCATGTTCCTGTCTCACCCACTAGGAAGCAGTGTCATCATTCCAGAAGATCCTAGAGAAAGAACAGAACTTTGAGTCAATCACCGAAACTGGTTTGGCTCAGTGGACAGAGCGTCGGCCTGCGGACTGAAAGGTCCCGGGTTCGATTCCGGTCAAGGGCATGTACCTTGGTTGGGTGTTCAAGAGGCAGCTGATCGATGATTCTCTCTCATCGATGTTTCTAACTCTCTATCCCTCTCTCTTCCTCTCTGTAAAAAATCAATAAAATATATTAAAAAAGCTAAAGCCGGCTGGGACTGGTTTGGCTCAATGGATAGAGCGTCGGCTTGGGGACTGAAGGGTCCCGGGTTCGATTCCGGTCAAGGGCATGTACCTTGGTTGCGGGCACATCCCTGGTAGGGGGTGTGCAAGAGGCAGCTGATCGATGACTCTCTCATCGATGTTTCTAACTCTCTATCTCTCTCCCTTCCTCTCTGTATAAAATCAATAAAATATATTAAAAAAAAAAAAAAAGCCAAAGCCGGTTTGGCTCAGTGGTGGAGCGTCGGTCTGCAGACTAAAGAGTCCCGGGTTCGATTCCGGTCAACGGCATGTACATTGGTTGCAGGCACATCCCCGGTGGGGGTTGTACA